TACGGGCGCGACACCAAGGGTTGAGATCCCATTACTGGTCAGTAAAAAAGACAAAAAGGAAAAAAAAATTTAAAAAATTAAAAAAATAAAATAAAAAAAGGAGGATTATTTTTAAGGCAGTCAGTGCTTCTCTTGTTGCTTTCTGTTGGGGAGAACTTTGTGATGTCCTTTCCTGTTGTGGTGCATCATCAGATCTTCAAGAACATGTGTGTTTGCCTGTGTTCACATAATTGTTTGGGGGAAATAAAAAATGACTAGAATTTGGAAGTTCTTTTTTTTTTTTTTTTTAAAAAAAAAAGATGACCGGTAAGGGGATCTTAACCCTTGACTTGGTGTTGTCAGCACCACGCTCACCCAATGAGCAACCGGCCATCCCTATATGGGATCCAAACCCATGGTCTTGGTGTTATCAGCACCGCACTCTACCGAGTGAGCCACGGGCCGGCCCTAGATTTTGGAAGTTCTAACATTTCACCTACCATCCACCTTATGGTCTTGGTGTTATCAGCACCACACTCTCCTGAGTGAGCCACGGGCCGGCCCTAGATTTTGGAAGTTCTAACATTTCACCTACCATCCACCTTCCATAAAAATTCAATGCAGTTTTAAGCCCTCACTTAGGCTCTAGCTCCTGAGACACTTTCCCCGACCTCTTCAAGTTGAAGCTGTACCCCCTTTTTTCAAGTTCCTACTGCACCTCTGGACTCCAGACATTCATTTCTACATATGCCAGCATTTTCAGAGAGTGAGTCGTGTGACCACAGGGCTTGATTAATTTTCATGCTTAGGTTATGATTCGTATGGCAACTAACAATTTGCTGCAGAGTAAGCATCCAATAAATGTTGACATAATTGGTGTACTGGCACTGGGAGGCCTTGGACTTATGTCTGTCATCAGCATCTGTCTTGGATAAGCCACAGCACTGAAGCAGTGATGTGGGTATTTGAGTCCTAGATTTTAACTTCCCATCTCATGTTCTCATAGATGCTTTCTATATATAATAACAGAGACAGGGTTAGAAAAAGCACAGGCCTATTTTTACTATGCTGGGATAAGGGAAGAGAATTAATATCTTGAACATCTTTAGGTAACAGCATTTGGGGATTCAAGTGGAAACTCCACTTTTGGGTATTGTTTTACAATAACAGTAATAATTAAATTGTAGCAGATTTTAAGGCACTAGTGATCAGTTTAAATAAAAGCATGTGGTGCCTATTTAATTGTGCTACAAACATTTTAATGGACTTTTCTGTCATTATTAATAGCTTGGTGATTTTTTTTTCTCCTTCCTTCCTAAGGTTTGTCTCATTCCGAAATCAGCACATGGGACCAATCCAGCAAGTGCCCACATGGCAGGCTTGAAGATTCAGCCTGTGGAGGTGGATAAATACGGGAATATTGATGCAGCTCACCTCAAGGCCATGGTACTCATGGGAAGAGGTGGTGGGGATGAGGGACTGGATGTGTTATGTAAACGTTATCTTCTTTTGCATTCTAATGAAAACACTGCAATGTCTCCTCTGTATGTGTCTGGAGGAACATTGTATAAAATTAGGAAACCTAACAGTCTCTATAAGAAAAATGAAAAGCAACATTCACATTTGCGGTCGCCAATAAGGCTGGCCATAGTCTATTACACCTCCCTTCACCAACAATAGACGATCCTCTAATTCGTGCCTATGTAAGAAACGGAATGAATTATGCATGGCAGCAGGAAGCGTACTCCTTGCAGGACCTGCCTGCCTCTTTCTGCCCAACCTTCCCTCTCTTTCCTTTCCTTCCCCTATTAATAATCAAACTGGCAGTCAAACTGATACTCAATCTTTGTGTCGGGAATGAAAACACAAATGGCAATTTTGCAAATGTCTGAGACTGTCCCAGCTGTGCTATGCTGAATTTCAGGCAGCGTTCCACCCTGTTTCCTCGTACACCAGCCCCCACTCCCAACCTCCCAACCTCCAGGAAGAGGTTGCTTAGCAACCGTATCTGCTTTCCACCAGTGGACTGGAGGCTGCATCTTAAGAGGGAAGGAAATCCATGGAATAGCAATGTGATTTTGTTGGGGTTATTAGGCATGGAAACTGAGAACTTCATGTAACTACCTTCAAAGGGAAGCTGAAAATACACAGCACCGCTCATCTCTTCCATCCACCCCACCCTTCCATAGCCTTACAAAGTTTTTTCTGACAAACATTCTGGGCCAGTAGTTGAAGTTATTAAGTCTCTGCAATATAGGATATGACTCCCATCTCGCCTCCATTTCCACGTGTGCCTGCTCTGACTTACTTGCCAGAACAACAGCAAATCCAAGAGTGTGCTGTATATATGTATATGCTTGCCTTCTGTAAAAAGGAAAAATGAGGGAGATTTCTATCAAAATAGGAACACTCCGTGTGGGAGCTCTAATTTCAACAGGATGGGAAGGAAATGGTGGGGATAGCAAGATGAGTAGAGAGAGATTAACCGTGAGAACAGACATGTCTAGAACCAAAAAGGTCTGAAGTAATGACTGAGATGACTCGAACCAAAGGAAAGCACTCTCACCTTAGAGAATCAGGCCCGAAATATCCCAAAGTCTTCTGAACGGTCTTTTTGGCCTTGACCATAAACACTTAGCCTGAGAAGATCTTGCTATTTCCTTGGCGAACCAAAGGAAAGCACTCTCACCTTAGAGAATCAGGCCCGAAATATCCCAAAGTCTTGCGAACGGTCTTTTTGGCCTTGACCATAAACACTTAGCCTGAGAAGATCTTGCTATTTCCTTGGGATGGCTCGTGAAGGGAGTAATGGCTGTGGATCTTTATTGCTGTCGTGGTACTTTGAGACAGTTCCAGGAATGCAAAGACCAAGACTTCATCTCTCTTAATCTTTCGGATAAAAAGCAAGCATTTGGCCAACAAAGAGACATTTCCTCCCTTCGTCTGCCTCTCCCCTTTGCTCTCCCACAGGTGGACAAGCACAAGGAGAACCTGGCAGCGATCATGATTACGTACCCATCCACCAACGGAGTGTTTGAAGAGAACATCAGCGACCTGTGTGACCTGATCCATCAACACGGAGGACAGGTCTACCTGGATGGGGCGAATATGAATGCTCAGGTGGGGACTGTGAGTGGGGCTCCCTTAGTTCCTGCTGAGAAAATGAAGAAGTCAAAAAAAAATTGTTTTTTTCTCTGACTTCTTGAGAGTCATCTTAAAACACGACACTGATGTCAGAACTGAGGCTGACTTTCTTTATTTCCAGCTTCAAATGAAGCACCCGATTTCCCTAGGATTATAGATTCTGGAGGAGGTGATAGGGGATGCTGGAGAGGAGGTAGAAAGGTGGAAAGGAGGCAGGGAGTGAGGTGAATTTCCTTAGGTTGTCAGTGGATGCTACCAGGCAAGAAGGTCACCCACATCCCTGCCCGAGGACCCCCAGACCCAAGTTCTGGCCCCTGGTGGAGGTTGATCTCCCATGGCCTTGGACAAGCCACCTAACCTGGCTTCAGCTCATCTGTTATAAAATAGGGGTGCAAGGGGTCCACTCCTGACTACCTGGCAACGGAGGGTCTGTGTAATGTGAACCTCAGAGGAAATGCTGTTGGGAACCACTGGAGGAGAGGAGTGTTACATCTCCTTGAGATCTTCTCAGCTTTTTGGTGTTTTGCAGTTTTTTCTTTTTTTCTTTTTCTTGTTTTTCCTTTCTATTTTAATTTTTTTTTTAATCATTTCATACTCTTTCTGCTTTTCTGTGCTTCTGTGTGATTCCTCTCATAAGTATAGTCCAGGGATTATCTTTTGCTTCAATAGCATAAATGTGGTTCCGTATCTTTGGCCACAATCAAAATTAGCCCTGATGCCAAAGCGGCAGGAACGCCAGTTGAATGCTGTGGCTGCTGTCTGGATCATCTCAGGAAAACTGTCCACCTCGTTCCGTCTCCCTCAGTTCAGCATCCGCCCTGGTGGCCCTCCAGCCCCTCACGTCAGTGTGCCCAGAGGGGCCATTCGGTAATGAACATAATACCCAAAGCTGACTGTGCAGAGGAAGGTAGAACTGCCAGGTCAACGTCACCTATATCAGTAGAAACGAGGCACTGTCCTTTCTTCTGCCAGGGACACTTCTCCCGCTCGTGGTGGATAATTTGGAATAGGCTGTGTATTCAAATTTGTATTTTTAAATGTAAATTGGGCTAAATGCTCAGTTGCTTTTTCTGTAGAAACCATCAGCCACTCACTCTGCCTATGGGATAGGATTCGGCTGCAGAACTGGGCCGGCATGGAGGAGATTTCCGTGAAGGCCGGGGCGTGGCTCCACCTGCACACACAGCCATGGCCTGTGCCCTGGAGGGCCCTTCCACACCCTTGATTTTTGCTTTGGCTCTTTCCCTTTGTGGTAGGTGGGAATCTGTCGTCCTGGAGACTTTGGGTCTGACGTCTCGCACCTGAATCTTCACAAGACCTTCTGCATTCCCCACGGAGGCGGCGGCCCTGGCATGGGGCCCATCGGAGTGTGAGTTCTGGGCTGCTGCTCTCAGGATGGCTTTGGAGGCAGAATGAAGGAATGGCCCCAAGTTCACTGTTCTTTCCATCAAGGCTTCAAGGGTCAGGGATGCCTTCATATGTAGTTGCACTTGCAGGGGCTGGGAGAGGAGCAGGGAGAGGAGTGTTTTAGGGTGTGTCCAAACAATAGCATAATTAGATTTTACTAACACAGCATTTGGCCACACTGAGGTCTCAGTCGTGTATAGACACAGCAGGTTCATTACGGAATATGGATCAGAACTGGAATATTAGCACTGGGTAGTGCCTTTCAGACTTTAACTTAAATTTCCAAGCAGCTTTGCTTTTCTTTTTAATCAGCTAATGTTACATTGAAAGTGAATTGGATGTACAGGTATTGAATACTTTACAGCCTGAATTCTTGTTACATCTGAGATAAGTAAGGAGTAAACAAACCATGTTCCTACAGATAATTGGATGTAGTTAGAATAAGACTAAAGGACTATTTCTTAGCTGTTGGTGATTTTATACTGTGAAATGAAATCATCTTGGTGAGATGATGGTGACAGCCCATTTCCAGAGCTTCATGAGTTTTCTAAAAATGTCAAAGGGGCCAGTTTTCAGGCTCGCTGGGAGTTTGGCCCCTTTTCGCTGCTTTTCTGTTCAATTAATATAGTTTATGGTAAGTGGGTGGCCCCAGTCCCTCAGCTGGAGGGTGGTGAATGCAACTTGGGTGCTGCCCGCCAATGTACAGCCTCTGGGGCATCTCTCCTGCGGGTACCTGGGAAAGTGGGGGGGGCCAGGGAGTGGGAGGAAGGGGGGCCTGGGGCTGGGGTGCCCCCTGTCTTGGTGAGCCCATGGCTCCACATGCTGTTCCATGGCTGCCTGCCTCTGCCAAATCCTCCACCACAGTTCTTGGGGCACGCTGAAGGCGAGGGACCACGCCTCCAGTGGAGGAGGAAGGAAGGAAGGAAATATCACTGCTTGAACATCTGCCTCTTAGCAGGTGTCAGGTCCCTTCCACGGTCAGAGTTCCTCTGCTAAGAATAGAGCTTCCTGAGGGGGCTCAGAACTTGCCTGTTTTGTTAGACTGGATCTTTTTACATCTTCTGAATTTGTTCTTTAAAAAAAAAAAAATATATATATATATATATATACACATACAGGAAGAAGCATCTTGCCCCCTTTCTGCCCGATCATCCCATCATTTCAGTAAAGCCGAATGAGGATACCTGGCCTGTGGGTACCATCAGCGCAGCCCCGTGGGGCTCCAGTTCCATCTTGCCCATTTCATGGGCTTATATCAAGGTGAGGCCTAGGACGTGTGTAGGGGGGCAGGGGATGTGATGAGTGGGTGGGGAACTGAGACTGTAGACTTCTCTCTTGGCTTAAAAACAAAGAAATCCACGATCTGAGATGTGTTTAAATAAATATTGCTGATGACTTGGGAGGAGGAAACCTTCCTAAAGAGAGTAGCTAAAATTCATTTCATCTCTTCTTCATTACACTGTTTCCTTTGGGTTCTCGTAGTGGGTTTAACATCAGAAAGACTGACGTGCCAGATATGTTTTTCCAGACACCGTTAAGTTCTGTGAGTCATGGATGTTCTGGCCACGTCATTTGGTTTCCTGTAGGATTTATATAGCCCCTTGCAAGTAAAAAGCAATGCACATACTAGTAATTACACTTTGTGGAGGTCCTGGGATAAATTTTAGGAATACATCACACTTTACCTTGTATTTATTTGGGGCCTGGAGGATAAGATGAAAAGTAGTGGAAATTTGCTTATGTGGCCCTTGCAAGTAAAAAGCAATGCACATACTAGTAATTACACTTTGTGGAGGTCCTGGGATAAATTTTAGGAATACATCACACTTCACCTTGTATTTATTTGGGGCCTGGAGGATAAGATGAAAAGTAGTGGAAATTTGCTTATGTGGTGGTTCTCCAATGCTCTTTGCCCTTTAGTGTTTGCAGAGCTGTACTCTCGGGGGTAATTAGACTTTGTGAGAGAACAGGCTTCCTTCCTTTGTCTTTCTCCAAAAACCCTAGGGCCAGAGTGTATTTTATACAGCTCTTGTTCAAACTGGCCTGCCAACCTCCTGGACTGACAAGACGGTGGGTAGGAGCCCTTGCTCAGCTGCTAATGAGCACAGCCTCCCCAAACCAGTGCCCCTCATTAAAGGAAGAGTGGCTCCTCGTGAAATAAAACCCCAGAACTCAGCTATGCAAATCATGCCAGATGACACTATTTTATTCTTGAACAGTGTGGCATTTATGATTCTTAATGAAAAGTTTCTTGGAAGCTAGAACAACAATCCTGTACCACAGAGACTAAAACCTGCCTTTAAAAATGATACTCAAGTTGTTTGCAAATAGTAACAACATAAACAATCAGAATAAAGGTCTACTTTTTAGCAAACAGAATAAAATTCCCATTTCCTTTTGATCCCCGGGTTCTGTAAATCTTGGTTATTTGTATGGACATATTTGGGTTGGAGATGATTTCTCACATGTATAAAATAAGTGCCCTGAGGCTGGTTTGGCCATACGCCTGGAACACTAGACAGAGCTTCAGTTTAAAAAGTAAATACATACAGTAGGGTTTAAGCCACCCTTATGACCTTGGGCCTTCTCTTATTCCAGGTTGTTGTTACTTATCCCCTGGACTCTAGCACGAGGCTCTTTTGTGTCTGCTGCTGTCCATCTTGGACACTTCTGCAGCACTGCTAGACTTCCCCTCAGGGGCAGAAACCTCCCCTGGCTTCCTGTTACCTTTACTGCTGGTTCTCACAGCCTACACAGAATCCTTAGAGGATTCTTTCAGAATGCACCTGCCTCAGCCCCATCCCAGAGAGAATCAAATTCACCACATGTGGGGTTGGGCCTGAGCCATCAGCATTTTGTAAAAGATGCTCAGGGACTCCGATACTTAGGTTGAGAGCCAGTGGCTGGCAGAACTATGTCCACATCCTTCCTAGCAAAGGTGTGAAGCTTGCAAGTCGTGGTCATAGATACCTTTCCCTGTAGTGGCTCCCAGATGGCAGTCATGTGCCTTCCCCTTCCACACCTTGGTTCTTTCCATTCTTCTCACCAGGGGTACTGTTTGCCTACCCAAATTCTATGCATTTTTCAGTTTACAGTCAAGTTCTAATTTTTACTCCAGGAAGCCTTCTTTGACCAACCTGGGGAAATGTGTCCTCTCTTTACTTTGGAGTTTCATATCACTGTTGTTTTATTTGATGCTTTCTCATTTGCTTTACATTAGTTATGTATTTGATATATAATCGATCTCCATTGTATATGAGGTACTCTGGGAAGAAAGTAGGCAATAAAAATCTTGATTTTTAAGCTCTTTGCTGGTGATAATGTTTACCCCATAGGATCACAGGGACTAAATTAACCGCCAGAATAGGATAAGATTGAATCTGGCAGTTATTAAATATAAATAGCCTTGATCTCATGGGATTCCTGGCAATTATTAAGACATCCCAAATTCACAGTAAACAACCCAAAATTCGTATAACCTAAGAACAATTCTTTTTCCTCTTTAGAGAACACAATAATCTGCAGTCAGCTTTGCCCTATTATTGGCTTTGCTATCACAATAAGGAATGTAGAAGTTAGTGTCTTGACCATTGGGTTCACCTGTTCAGTGGTTGATGGCTCTTTCTCCCTCTGTTGCAGATGATGGGAGGCAAGGGCCTTAAACAGGCCACAGAAATTGCTATATTAAATGCCAACTACATGGCCAAGAGATTAGAGAAACACTACAGAATCCTTTTCAGGGGTGCAAGAGGCAAGTATGAACTCCAATCTACCATCACCTTGTTTTTTTCTTGGCCAAACCAAGTTTGACCTAGATGTGGTTTTCTGATTTGAGTGGGAGACTTCTGTAGAGAAAAGTGTAGAGTTCTTGGAAATAACTTCAATGTAGTTAACAGTTAAAGGGTATCACTACATGCAAGGCTATCCTAGGCACTTAGTCTACACAGCACAGGTCAACAAGGATTTGAGTGGGAGACTTCTGTAGAGAAAAGTGTAGAGTTCTTGGAAATAACTTCAATGTAGTTAACAGTTAAGGGGTATCACTACATGCAAGGCTATCCTAGGCACTTAGTCTACACAGCACAGGTCAACAAGGAGCCCACACCACTGAGATGTGCGCACGAATATCACGAGCTAGTTACAAACTGCTATGGGAATGCCCTCAAAAGAGTGCAGAAATTCAGACGGGGCAGTGGCAGTGTGGAATAATTGAGAGACCCTTTTTGGGAGGGTCGTTTAAGATGGTCCTGGAAGGAGTGCTATGGGAATGCCCTCAAAAGAGTGCAGAAATTCAGACGGGGCAGAGGCAGTGTGGAATAATTGAGAGACCCTTTTTGGGAGGGTCGTTTAAGATGGTCCTGGAAGGAAGCATAGCAGAGGAGAACCTGAGTGAACAGAGATGCAGAAGCAAGCCAGAGAAAAAAGAGTTGTCTGGGTGGCCGGAGTGCTGAAGGGTGGGATGGGAGGAGAGGGAGAGAATGAGGATGAGGCTGGGAGGTTAGCATGAGGCCTTGAAGGTCTTGGAGGCTCTGGACTTTACCCCTTGAGCTGGACGATAGCCCTTAGAAGGTTTTGAGCAAGGGAGCGACAGGATTCATTGATATTATTAAAATGATTAAGACCAGTAGCAAGGGAAGAACATGCTCTTAGAAGTGGAGTGAGACTTAGTTACTGGTCAGTTGTGTGTGAAGGGAAATTTTAGGTCAGCCTCTTCAGCTTACAATTGAGGCATAATAAAGGGAATAAAAGATCAGAGAACAAAGTCACCCTGGAAGTGATGGGAGGGGACGGAACTAAGAACCAGTTATACAGACACTCAGAGATTTGACCGTGGGCACAGAATCCGAGAGCTGAGTCTTGGACATGGTGAGGCCCGAGGAAAGAGTGCTGAGAAAGCAGAGCAGATACCTCAAGCAGATGGCTGCTTTAGGTGGGCTGCAGAGAAGGGGTGACTGGGGAGGGGCACTGCATGCCCAAGGCAGCTTGAGAGCCTCGCAGCAGTTGTCCCAGGGCCTCTCCCTGGAAAAACCCCTGCCTGTCTTTCCTGCTTCAATCTGGCCCCTTCTCCTACCTGAAGCCTCCCTTCCTGGTGGAGAGAGCCACTCCCTCTTCTTGTCCCCCTCTCTCCGTCACACTTCAACCTCCAGGAGGGCAGAGACTGTGTCTGCTTCATTTCTCAGATGCCCATACCTGGCCTGTCACCTGTGGTCAATAGATACACAAATATTCATGGTGTTGTAGAACACAGAGAGACAGACTGTGAAGAGTGGTGGGTGGCTGATGTTACTTTCTTTTATGTTTTACTTATTTATTTATATATTTTTTCCAGCTTTAATGAGGTCTGATTGACAAATCTGGTTTTATGATGTGAGTCTTAAGAAGAACCTTCGTCTTTAACGATTAGGAAGCCTTCAGTAACCTTTGAAAGAAGTTTGGGCAAAATAGTGAGGCAGGTGCCAGGTGGGAATGGGCTGAGAAGCGGACGGAGGCTGCAAGGAGAAGGGAGAAGCATGCATGGCTCAGGGAAGCTTGGTAGTGAAGGGCGGCAGGAGCTGCTTCGGTAGCGTGTGGTCATGTTTTCTTTTAAAATATGGAAAGAGAAGGATTTTCAGGTGCCAGGGAAAAGGCTGTGAAGATGGAGAGTGAAGCTACAATAGAGAGAATAATAGATGGAGGAACCGAGTCACCCTGGCTGGGAAAGGCTGGAGCTAAGAACCAGGTAGACATTGGCTATGGGCGCAGATTGGGAGCAGAGCAGGGACCGGGTCGTGGAGCTCGGGGAGCAGAGAGACAGCCGCCAGCAACCAGCGTGCCCGGCCCTTGGGCAACAGCTGCAAGGCCTCTCTTGGGCTCTTGGTGTCTCCGGCCCAGGCGGAGTGTTCATCTGCATCTGTGATCTTTCATTTAAAGGCTGGTCTTGCCTCATACACATGTATCCAAAGGGGTGGTTCTGGAGTTTGAAAATAGAAAAGAACTAAATAACCAGACGCTTTGGTTGGGAATGCTCCCCTAAGAGTAGAAAAAAAAGTTGTGGGATTATGTCTCTAAGCAACACAATAAAATGCTTCTGAAGTGGGTGTTAAAGAAGCTTTAAGAGCTACAAATTAATTCAGATAGAGCTCCTGTGCTGTGAGATGTACCCTGCTTATGTATTGGCTTCAAGGATTAGCTTCAGCATTTGTTTTGGCCGATTATGCTAAAGTACTTCAAAAAGTTCATGGAAAGATTCGTATTACCTTTTAATTCTATTTTTCCACAAACTTTTTGAAGTACTGTCATGTAAGTAATGTGTATATGCACAACGTGAAGATTTTGGAAAATTAAAAAGCCTGAGGAGGAAAACTTAAATGACCCATGGTTCCCTCAATCAGACGTAGCCACTGTTAATATTTGCTGTTTTCCTTCTCGTCTTTCTTTTATACAATTGAGATTATATTACAAATACAGTTTATTCTGTTTTTTGACTTTATGAACATTTTTTTTTTTATCTTTATGAACATTTTTCCACGTCTTTAAATACTCTTTGAAAGTGGCTATATATTACAAATACAGTTTATTCTGTTTTTTGACTTTATGAACATTTTTTTTTTTTATCTTTATGAACATTTTTCCACGTCTTTAAATACTCTTTGAAAGTGGCTATGGTGATTCCATTGTATGGATGTGATACATGGAAGCCATGTATCCCATCATGGATATAGAACCAGTTGTTTACATTTCTAGCGATGCTGCAATGAGTATCCTTTAGATTTTAAAAATTTTTTCCATTTTTTTAAAATTGAAGCTTGATTGATTATACATATTTTCTGGTGTACCACGTTGACTACCATCACCTGTGTACAGCATGTGTTGGCCCAATCCATATTATTAGCATGTTCATTATTACAGATCATAATTATTCTTTATGTCCCTTACCCAGCCTCTCTCCACCCCTGCCCTTTCCCCCTCCCACCTCTAGTAACCATAGATTTGTTCTCTCCTCCTGAAAGATCAACATATTATTGTGGTCTTCTCTTTCTTTTGTTTCTTTCATTTCTTTCTTTTTTTCTGTTTCTTTTGTCTCTTTTTTTCTTTCTTTCTTAGCACCCACTTATGAGTGAGGACATGGTATTTCTCTTTCTGTGCCTGGCTTAACATAATTTTCTCCAAGCTCATCCATGTTGCTACAAATGGCAGAATTTCACTCTTTTTTATGGCTTGAGTAGTATTCCATTGTGTATATATACCACAATTTCTTTACCCAGTCGTCCATTGATGGACATTTAGGTTGGTTCCATATTTTGGCTATTGTAGGTAGAGTTGTGATGAACATGGGAGTGCAGATATCCCTTCAACATGATGATTTCCATTCCTTTGGGTATATACCCAAAAGTGGGATTGCTGGATCATATGGTAGTTCTATATGTAGTTATTTCAAAATCCGCCATACTGCTTTCCATAATGGCTGTACTATTTTACAGTCCCACCAACAGTGTAGGAGAGTTCCTCTTTCTCCACATCCTGGCCAGTATTTGTTATTCTTGGTCTTTTTAATACTGGCGAGTCTTACTGGGGTGAGATGATAACTCAGCATGGTATTGATTTGCATTTCCCTGATGATTAGTGATGTTGAGCATTTTTTTCATGTACCTGTTGGCCATTTGTATGTCTTCCTTTGAAAAAATGTCTATTCAGTTCCTTTGCCCATTTCTTAATTGGATTATTTGATTTTTTACTGTGAAGTTCTTTGAGTTCCTTATATATTCTGGATATTAATCCCTTGTCAGATATATAGTTTGTGAAATTTCTCTCATTCTGTAGGTTGTCTTTTGGCTCTGTTGATTTTCTTTGCTGTGCAGAAGCTTTTTAGTTTGATATAATCCCATTTGTTTATTTTTTCATTTGTTGCTTGTGGTTTGGGGGACTTATTCATAAAGTCTTCTCCCAGTCCTACTTTCTGAACTGTTTCCCCTATGTTTTCTTTTAGTAACTTTATGGCTTCAGGTCTTATCCTTAAGTCTTTAATCCATTTTGAATTGATTTTGGTATATGGTGAGAGGTATGGGTCTAGTTTCATTCTTCTGCATATAAATGTCCAATTTTCCCAACACCATTTATTGAAAAGGTAGTCTTTTCCCCAAAGTATATTCTTGTTGCTTTTGTCAAAGATCAGTTGGCTGTAAGTATGTGGGTTGATTTCTGATTATCTATTCTGTTCCATTGGGTTTAGTGTCTGTTTTTATGTGGTACCATGCTGTTTTGGTTACAATAACTTTGTATTATAATTTGAAGTCAGATAGTGTTATGCCTCCAGCTTTCTTTTGCTCAGAATTTCTTTTGCTATTTGTGGTCTTTTGTTGTTCCACATGAATATTAGGATTGTTTTTTCTATTTCTGTAAAGAATGTCATTGGTATTTTGATGGGGATTGTATTGAATCTGTAGATCACTTTGGGTAGTATGGACATTTTCCAATCCAAGAGCATGGAATGTCTTTCCATCTTTTTGTGTCCTCTTTAATTTCTTTCAGTAGTGTTTTGTAGTTCCTGTTGTAGAGATATCTCACCTCCTTGTTTAAATTGATTCCTAAGTATTTTATTTTATTTTTTTTGGGGGGGGTGACTTGTAAATGGGCTTGCTTTCTTGATTTCTTTTTCTGCTAGATCATTATTGGAGTATAAAAATGCTGACTGACTTTTGGGTGTTGACTTTGTATCCTGCAACATTACTGAAATTATTAATCAGCTCTAAGAGTTTTTTGGTAGAGTCTTTA